GGCCTGATGCTACGGGAAATAAGCCAGTCACAAGAAGACCGATACTGGATGAGTCCACGTCTATGAGGTATCTAGAATAGGCCAAGTTCATGGAGACAGAAAGTAGAAGAGTGGTTATCAGGAGCTGTGGGGAGGGAAAATGAGTTTGTTTAATGGGCACAGTTTCAGTTTTACAAGGTGAGAACGTTCTAGAGATCTTGCAACAACGTGGATACACTTGACACTACTGAAGACGGTTACGATGGAGAACTTTATATTACATGTATTTTTAACCACAAAAAATATATTTTTAATTACAGTCCTGTAGGAGTGATGGTAAAAATGGTGATTTTTCTTCGGCAGTAGGAAAACACAGCTCAGACTTTCGGGAACAACGGAGAGGTGGTGGCCAATCCTGAGCTCGCCAGGCTGGCTGCAGGGAATGCTGTATCTGCTCCCTACTGGTCGTGGATGAAGCCAGTGCTCCCGATTGCCCACCCCCTGCAATGTTCTCATCTCTCCTTTGAAGGTGCTGTTGGCTTAGCGAGAGAGCAGACGATCCGTCTGAAATCACACAGTGCGGGGAAACCACACTCTGAGGTCTGAAACACGCATGTGTAGTGGCCTGGGAGTGGAGTGGCCGTGTATGTGTGACAGGCTGCCAAGAAAAAAATGACTCTGTCACAAAGAACCAGAAATCACAAGCCACTGTCTTAAGTGGTTTTCTTTTTTCAAAGTGCTGGGGGAAAAAATAATTCCACAAATTCATCCCCTTGGTAGGAACAATGGAGCTGAAGTTTTCCTTTCTATTGACGTAAAAACTATCATTCAAAACATGGCCCCATTTTTGTTCTGTGCTGGCTCACGGGGGGCACTTGGTCAACATCTGTGGAGTGATCAAATGGATGGAAGGTTGTGCCATGAGCAACTGAAAAAGTTTCTCACACAGTTAAATAAATTCCTTGTCTCTCTTCCTGCATCCATGGAGTTCCCGCAGCCAGAATTCCAAGCACCCAGCATCTGATACTTGACTCCATTCCCAGAGCTTATCTCAGATACAAAAAAATGTGATATGATAAGGATGTTCTAATGAAGTCTACTAGTGAACAGGATGGGACAGCTCGGGGCAATGGCAGAAAACAGAATGTAGACATAGTTCTTACTAACTAGAGTTGTCCAAAGCCTCCAAATCCAGTCAGACACTTACGGCAAGATGAACCCAGAAGGCCACACTGGTCTACGTCTATTCCTTTTACAGGAGACCCAAGTAAAGATACCTTTAAAAAAATATAAACTTGGGGGCGCCTGGGTGGCTCAGTGGGTTAAAGCCTCTGCCTTCGGCTCAGGTCGTGATCCCAGGGTCCTGGGATCCAGCCCCGCATCGGGCTCTCTGCTCAGCTGGGAGCCTGCTTCCTCCTCTCTCTCTGCCTACTTCTCTGCCTACTTGTGATCTCTGTCTGTCAAATAAATAAATAAAATCTTTAAAATATATATATATATATATATATATATATATATAAACTTGTTTTCTTAACCTCAATTTACAAAATCAAATGCTCTGCATTTCGCTCAGCCTTGTTAGAAACTGAACACAATGTTCAACCCTGGTCTCTCTCCAGGGTGAGCAGGAGGACACTGTGATAGCCCCAAGCAAGGGCAGTGTGCCAGGTAGAGAGACGAATTTTAATGAAGAGTGCGCGCCTGACCTCTGCAGAAGGCTCCCCGGTCCTTATGGACAGGACAGCATAACCTAGAGAAACTGGAGCTGAAGGGGGAATGAGGGCTTGAGGTTCATTCTGGAGATTTGCCCACCCTTCCTACGCTCTCTCTCGGCCTGGTCCTTGGCTCTAGGAAAGGGGAGGGGGTGAAGGAATGCAGGTAGCTGGGTGCCAGAGGGAGGCAGAGACCCTGGTGAAAGATACAGCCCCTCGGGAGACATTCTTTGGCGCCGTCCCAAGCAGACTTGGCCCCAGAGGCACTCGAACGGCTGGCTCGGCACCAGCAGTGGGCTGTAAGTGGCAGATCCGGCTTTGGGGCTTCCCTGCTCACCACAGATGGAGCCCCCCGAAGGCCCAGCAGGGGTCAGCAGAACATGCTGTGTGCTGCGAGGTGACGGCCCCCCCCAGTCCCACAGCTCGGGACACTGTGAGGTATAGGAGCTCACAATTTGGGTTTTTAATTAGATTCTGTTTCCAGGCCTCCACGGAGGAAAAAAAAAATTCTAAATTCTTATAAACAAAACTTCTGAGCTCTAAAAATAACATGAAAACATTTTTATTGAGAGTATTTCCTTTAAAAAGAATGGGTTGTGAAAATGATTCACTCCTGCTCCCAGTCAGTAAAACTATATTTAAATATGATCAGAAATCTCAGAAAGCCTATTTTGATGTGGGTGTGGCCTCAGCCCATAGAGCCTAACCTATCCAGCACGCGGGTCCAGCATGAGCAGCGGAAACCTGGGGACTGTCTCTGCCGGGTGACAATAGTAACACTCACACAGCAATGGTTCTCATTGTTGGGAAGTTTGGCCTCCTTACAGACATCTGGCAAACTCTGGACCCTCACAACTCAAGACCGGGGTCATGAGAGGGGAGAGGGGGATCCTAGTGTCTAGTGATTGAGGCCAGAAATGTAGCTGACACACAGGACAGACCTCCCCTCCAGCACCCCCGCCCCGCCCCGACAAGGAATTATCCAGTCCAAAACGTCACTAGTGCCAAGATTGAGAAACACTGCTTATTCTGAGCGTCCCATAGGCCGATTCTGTTTCATCTATTTTATATGCATCAATTCATCAAGTCGACAGTAGGAGAGTGGTTGTACCATTATCATTCCTGCTGCACAGGTGAGGAAGGGGGTGCAGGGACATGGAATGACTTGCCCAAGGCCACCCGGCTAGTACCTGCTAAGCTAAAATTGTAGACGAGCCTCCTGGCTGCAGAGGCTACGCTGTCACCCGATTCCACACGCCTCCTTCTCCTTGTCCTCCTTGCCCGCATCTAAGCAGTCACACATCCTTGAGAGCCAACCTCTTTACACCCTTTAGCTCTGTCCCCACCACCCTGTCCCATTCAGGCCTGCATCCTTGGCCTGGACCACAGACCACCAAGGACCCGCTGCTTTCCAGGCACACCCCCCTGTTCACCTCCCCCAACCTCCCGCTGTTACCTGAGTAACCTCGGAACCCAAGTCTGATTGCATCTCTGACTGCTGCTTAAAACCCTTCAACAGGCCCCTGTCGCCTATAAGGTGAAGCACAAATTCTCAGGATGCCATCGGAACTGTAAGCAGAATCATACCCTCCGGGCCTTCTCCTGCCTCCCAAACACCTTGCATATCATTTCAAAGGCGATGTTATTCCCATCTCTCCGTCTCTACTCTGCCTCTGATATCCAGATACCCTGTTTATCTGGCAAACACCTACTGACCCTTCAAGAATCAATCCCACTGTCCCCTCTTCCAGGAAGCCTTCCCTGACTACTCCCTTCCTTGTGACTCTACCACTTACTCCCACCACTTCTATTAAAAATGCATCACCAGGGGCGCCTGGGTTGCCCAGTTGGTTGAATGTCTGACTCTTGGTTTTGAGATTTTATTTATTTATTTGACAGAGAGAGAGAGATCACAAGTAGGCAGAGAGAGAGGCAAAGAGAGAGGGGGAAGCAGGCTCCTTGCCAAGTAGAGAGTCTGATGCGGAGCTCGATCTCAGGACCCTGAGATCACAACCTGAGCCGAAGGCAGAGGCTTAACCCACTGAGCAGATCCCATCTTGGTTTTGGCTCAGGTCATGATCTTGGGATCATAAGTTCAAACCCCATGTTGGGCTCCACACGCTCAGCATGGGGTTTGCTTGAGATTTCTCCCCACCCACCCACCCACTGCTCCTCCTCCCCACTCACACTCTCTCTCTCTCTAAAATAAATAAATAAAATCTTTTTTAAAAATGCATCACCATTTTTCTTTGTTTTCAAGTCTGTCCCTTCAGGGCAAGGAACTTGTGTTATTTTACTTCTCTCTAAAGCCTAGCCAAGTAACTGGGCAGACACTCTGCAAGTATTGAATGAATCAAAGAAGAAATATCTGGTATGGTTTGGATTCTTTCAGGCCAGAATAGATTCCCTTTGCCCTTTGTCTGCAGCAGGGAATCTCTTCCATTGAACACTGACATTGTTAGGAAGTCCTTACATGACACAGAAGCCTTGACTCAAGTCTCACCACTAAGAGTTATCATCACCCCCCTTCTTCTCTCCTTCCCCAGGTTGAACACCTCCAGCTTCCCTCCTCTTCCTAATGATGTCTGTTATCATTTCAAGATCCCTTGTGGCTCTTACAGCGTGCACTTAATTACTAAGCCAACCCCAACTGTGATGGGCCTAAGCAGAAGCTAGCCATATTTGGGAATTATAGACAGATTCCCGAGATGCGTTTACAGTGTGTACTTCATGTCAAGGATCTCAAGTTCCAGGGCCTAAGGGCCCAGGCAGGTAAGCTCCAGGAAAGAAGTAAGCGGGAGGTGCTGGATTGGGGGGGTAGGAAGGACTGGAAATAGACAGGCCACACCTGTGACAACTCTCACTTCTGGAACCGCGGCTAATGTAGGAGACCCAGCGTTGCCAGATCTTTGGGGTTTTCAAGAAAAGCTAAACATTTGCATTTTTATGCAAGTTTTTAGATACCAGCAACTAATTTTTTTCTTTAAAATGGACAGTCATGTACATGCCAAACCAATTGCCTTTGGTGGCCAGCTCTGGCTGCCGGCTGTCATTTGTGGCCTTGGCTTTAAAAGAATGGCTGGAGTGATTCCTAAATTTGTTGTTGTATTTGGGGTTGTATTTGTATCTGTATGCACAGATACACTGACTGTTGTGGACATACAAGGGCAGAATTTAAATGTGAAGTTAACCTAGAACTCTAGGGTAAAAAATCACTCTGAGGCGTACATCACCAAAGAGGGTGAACAGAACCAGAAAAGAGGGAGCCTTCCCAGCCAGGGTCCAAAGGTGAGGCAAAGACACAATTACCTGTCCACAAGCCCATCTCCAGCAAGGCCTGGAATAAGCTGGGGTGCCGGTCTTTCAGCTCCTTCTCCCAGGGGAAGGCTTTGCACGTGGAGGGTCTCCCGTACCTGAGCTTCAGGTCCAGGTAGGAGTTCTGGAAGTCACCTGCAGGCAAGGGAAGCACAAGAGAGCCCTCCCCTCAGAAGAGGGAAGGCCTCATCCTTCTAAATCCCTCCTCCCCAAGAGGAACTAGAAATCAGAGGTCAGACTTAATGTTCCTGGATGTTGGTTTGGGTCCATTAGGGATTCGCCATTGGCTCTGATGCCTCTGCCTCGAGGTCACAAATTCAAAGCCATGTCCAAGGGAAATGTGCCAAAGTTGCTGATGGCTGTTGAATAATTCCACAGAATGAGCAGCTGGCCTCAGACTGTTCCCCAGGAGGCCAATATCTAGGCCATTTTGTTGGCAGTGTGAGTTGAGGAGCAAAGCACAAGGACCCCCAGGGAGGAAAGGCGGTGGATGTTAGGAAAACCTTCCAATGCCACCAAGCAGAGCAGCATGCAAGGACGGCCTTCCAACTCAGAGTATCTCTCCTGAAATTACATCAGTTATCAAAATCAGTTTCTTTCCTGTTTGGGATATTACTATTCCTATATATCTTCCCCCTCTTCTGACAGCATCATATTTTCTGGATGAGTCAGCTGTACCCGCAGCAGCTGGGGACCAGGATTGCCTATTCTTAAATTAAACGGCAGAGGCACTGGCTTTCCACGCTTCCCTACAGCTTCGTCTCCTCACTTGCTGAGACTGTGGTCTGTGAACCCTCCCGGACTGAGGCGTGCTCCAGAGGCACCCATCCCTGCACTGCCGGGGCTGGGGAAGTTCAGCTCTGGAGAGAGGGAGACGTGTGGGCAGGATCGCCCTACTCCGTTCGTCTTTGCGGATGGCAAAGGCCCCACGGGAATTTCTCTTCCAGAAGGAACATATGGGACTAAATCTAGTGCCGCCATATCAGGCAAGAAGATCTAAGCACAGAGAAATTTACAAGTGCAGATCCAAGCCAGAATATTGGAAGACAGGCCAGGAACCAATTTTTATAATCAATGACCACCCTGTATGAGTGAAGGATGCCTCTGCAAATATGAACAGGCCTGAAAGCAGTCTATTTGAAATGCATTCCTTCTGCTGGCTATTAACGGGGTCTTCCAGAAAGAATCAATTTCAAGGATTAAAAAAAATAAAACCGAGCTCCAAACAACAAAGTCACTGTTCAACATTTCTGAAAGCTAATATTCAGATATTAATGGTCCAAGACAAAAGTGCACCGATGGGGAAACATTTCCAATGATTAATTTATTTTCCAATTCACTTTTATTTTCTTAGACTGGCCAAAGATCCCATTATGGATGGGAAGAAAGCAACGCGAGGCCCAACATGCTCTCATTTGTATTCTTAACAGGAATCACATATGGTTGAAGCTAAGAAGCAGGTGTGGGGTTCCTGTTGGCCGTTGATCTGGTTGGAATCCAGGTGGAACGTACAGGGTCCCCCGCCTCAATCCGTGAAGGGCTCCACGTCGTATCTGTTCGCGCCACTCAGGTCATATTTATTCTATTTTAACCGCGTTAGAAAGGAGCCAAACATGTTGACACAAACACGCAGAGCTAAAAATTGCCCTGCTGGAGCTCAGTACTCACATGCTTCTTGTTGCCTGCCCCCTTGCTGCACCGTGGATACGTACACAGACACTATTTCTTGGACCTCAGCACACCTTTCATAATACAATTTGAGCTGTTCAGCAAGTGGCTTCTCAAGGAGGGGATTAACGATCTACAAGAAGGCAAGAAAATCGAATGAACAACAACTGTCATCAAACTCCCATCGATACCTCGGAGGCTGTGTTCAGGCGGATTTTCTTCTCCCATTGGTGTCACCAGATGGCCTGCCTGCACACAGACTGTCGACTCTGGATCAGCAGCAGGAGGGTATAATTCAAGGGCACACTAGCTCGGTCTGGTTCCCTCTCGCTGCTTTTGGTGCTACCTTCTTTTCTGCAAGAGCATCTTAAATTCCTTCCCAGAGTCCGGGCCTCCACCCTCTTCTTTCCCCTCATCACGTGCTGTCCCTAGACAATCACGTTCCTCTCTCCTTCAGTCCCCAAGGGATGCCAACTCTCCCCGTGCTGTGCCAAGCCCTGCAAACCCTCCTTCTACTGGGCAGGCTCCTACTTGACCTCCAAGAGTCAGGTCCAAGGTCATTGCTTGGGCACCTCCCCCATGTGTGTGCAGATACGGATGTCCCCACCTCAGCCACCCAAAAACACTTGCATGCGAATTAGAGCATGTACTGTGTTCCTTCATGACTTTGGTGTTTAAGAGGCAGATGGGGAGCTTTTCCAAAACAGAGGCCTTATCTCAACTCAATGGTTTTCAAAATCCAGGTTGTAACCCATTAGAGGGTCATGAAAGTATTTCAACAGGTTGTAAACAGAAGTGATTTTTTTTCTTTCTTTTTTTTTTTTTTTAAAGATTTTATTTATTTATTTGACAGACCGAGATCACAAGTAGGCAGAGAGGCAGGCAGAGAGGGAGAGAGGAGGAAGCAGGCTCCCTGCCGAGCAGAGAGCCGGATGCGGGGCTCGATCCCAGGACCCCGAGATCATGACCTGAGCTGAAGGCAGAGGCTTTAAACCATCGAGCCAGCCAGGTGCCCCTGATTTTTTTTTTCTAATAAAATAGAACACCAGGGGCGCCTGGGTGGCTCAGTGGGGTAAGGCCTCTGCCTTTGGCTCAGGTCATGATCCCAGGGTCCTGAGATCGAGCCCCGCATCGGGCTCTCTGCTCAGCAGGGAGCTTGCTTCCTCCTCTCTCTCTACCTGACTCTCTCCCTACTTGTGATCTCTGTCTCTGTCAAATAAATAAATAAAATATTAAAAAAAAATAGAACACGAAATAGCAGAGTGCGTCTAACAAGGGAAAGGCATGTATTCTCAGTAAAATCTGGGTTTCGGTTTTGTATTTTATACATATATATAATATATATAGGTATGTGCATATGTGTGTGCATGTATGTGTGTGCTCAGGACATTACATAGATTTCTTCTTTTCTTTCTTTTTTTTATTACATAGATTTCTCATGTGAACCACCCTCAAAAAAAATTTGAGAGCTACCCTCTTCATCATCATGGACGCCTCAGCATCTGCACAGGGCCTGGCACATAGTAGGTGCTCTGGAAGTATTTGTTGCAAAAGGAATACATTAATATATTAATTTGTTTTCCTCTTCACAGAAATCTCTCCATAGGGGTTCTGACATGTGCCCATGGATAGTAGGGCTCTGCATTTTTCTTCCTTTCCTTTGCCTAATGACTCCAGCTTTCCCCAGAACAAATCTCGCGGGGTCACAGGAATGCATCAAGGTTCCTTGTTCAGGTGTCTGGTGATCTCCTTACATGGTGGAAAAACACACCTCTGTGAAGGGAGGCAGTGCCCGCCTCCCTGCACCAGCCCTAGGGAGCTGACCTGGAGAGCTGGACAAGCCCACCTGTGGGTGGGTTTTGGAGGTGAGGGTCACGGCATAGTAGTTCCGTCCTCCCCAATGTCTACAAGTACAGCCAACCCACTGTGGGAGTCCAAGGCCTGTGTGTCTGAAGACAGCAGCGAATGGAACCAAGATTTTAATTTGCTAGAGTGTCTCCTCTTTTGATACTTTAAATAATAGCACATAAAAGAAGCTCTACCAAATAACTAAGATTCTCTCCTTTCATTAGCTTAATCACTGGATAGGCAACAGCCTGATAAAAATCTACTCTATAATTAAGCTAGTAGTTATTAAAACATAGGAAGTAAATGGTTTCCATTTCATGAGTACTAAATGAACCAAATCTTAACAGAAATCTATTATCAAGTTTGCTGGGGGAAAAGCCTCCATATTAATTACTTTTGATGACAGAGCCAACGCGAGGTCCAGCTTGGGTAAATCTTTTGTTTACATGAGCTTCCACGTCCTACAGCCACATGCCCATCATGACTGAACTCCCAGAAACTTCTCGATGCCCAGGGCTCACCTGTGCAGGGTGCAGAGTGTGGAGACGATAGTACTTCAGGGGTCCAAAAAACCCTTCAATGCCGGCCACATACCTGCTCCCTCCGATAATGAAGTATCCAGCAGTATCATTATAATAGAAATCCTCTCTGAAGCTACAGGAGAACAAGGAATTAAGAGAGCCCTTGGTCTGAAGCAGATCTTTAAAAAAGACTCTTTTATTGACCCTCCTCGACTTACACCCCCAAATTTCTTCACGTCCTTCACACTGAATTCTAGCAGATGAGACCGTGGTGGGTCAGACACACTTGGGCTAGGATCCTAACTCTGCTGTTTACCAGCCATGTGACCTTGGGCCTGTCCCTTACCTTCTCTGAGACCAAGTTTTCTCATTAGTAAATTATCTCCCCAATACTTAGATTCTTAGGAGGATTCATGAAATGTAAAGGCATGTGCCCAGCAGAGTGCCTTGCCCGTCACAAATATTCAGTACCTGCCAGCTTCTGATATTGGTAAAATGGTTTGGGATTGGAATTCTTTGGAATCACTAGTCTTAATTGGAAATGTTTTGCTCTAAAAGGGGGGAAAAAACCCACCTTGTTGAATGGACAGAAGGTGGCTGTGAAGGAAAACTAACAACATATCCTATTAGATCAGAACCTGAGGGAAAATTCAGACTGAGAAGGAAGAGGCTGAATGCCAGAGCTCAGCACAGGTGGTGTGCTGGAAATCTGCTTTGTCCTGAAAGACTTGAAGGAGTAGGAAGGAAAACAAAAGGGACAAAATGGGCCGGCAAGAATCAAATGCAAAAACTTGTTCCTTACTGCCTTGTTTATACGCCCCAGGCGTCTGTCAGGCCATCCAATGGACACTAAATGTGAGCCTTTTAAAAATATATAGCTTAAAAAGGGAACAGAGGGCTCTGTGTACTAAAGGGATCTCCAGTGTATTAAAGTGAAAAAAAGTAAAACAAAAGTGTGGAAAAAAGAGCATATACTTTTTATCCAAGAAAGAGGAGAATGGATCTTTTTGTTGTATTTGCATTTTAAAAACTCTGTTAAGTACATACTGCAAGAAATTAATAATATTTCCCCAGGGCGTAGGAGGTAGGGGATGGAGTGGATGGGGACAGAGCTTGAAGCAAGACATCTAGCTGTCTATCTTTTCGTATCATTTTGATTTTTTTTTAAACAGCCCCATTTATTGCCTATTTAAAAACTAAAATAGGGTAGGTGAAGGAGGCGGTATCAGACCTACGAGGACAGCAGGTTGGGGGAGGACCAAGAAAAGCATCAAGTGAGAAGTCAGGCAAAGAGGAAAGAGCCAGGGAAGACAGAGGGCAGATGGAAGCAGACGGAAAGAAAACAAAATGTCAGGCAAGCCGCCAGGAGCCCGGCGAGTCGTGAGAGCAATGGGCCAGGGTGATGCCAACAGGGATGGAGGGAGATACCAGCAGTTAGATCAGAAAAGCCAAGCAACCTGGGGTTATCCCAAGAGAGGGGATGTACTGACTGTTACCAAGGAACCCGAACTGTAGCAGGTTCACCCGGCTGGAGAGGAAGACAAAAGGGAGAAGGAATGAGACTCTGACAACGTCAACAGAAGGCAGCAGAAGTGAATGCTTAGAAATTAGCTTTACACGAATGCAGCTAAAATGGAAAAGGAGAGCTGCTTCTCCCGATATTTTTCATTTCAGAATCTCGGGCTTGATGGTCTTTCTCTTTATTTTCCACAGAGACCACAAAGTTATTATCTCCGAGAGCTGTGAATTGATTTTGTTTTTCAAGACCGTAGAAAGATTTAACATTCCAGCCACCGTCACCACTAATACCTGGCTCTTGATGGATACAAAACGCAAGGCTTCTACAATAGAAGCGCGCTTAACGGAACTCGGCTCAACCAGCTCTCCAGCGCCCCTACTGGCTATCCCTGCAACGTGCTGGATGCTCGCTGGTCAGAGCCCACTCTCCGGAGGAGCCTTAGTCTTCTGTCGTTTGAATAAAGATGACGGTAGTACCTACCTACTGGGCTGTTGTGAGGATTAAATAAACTGATATTTAAACAGAGCAGTTAGAACAGTGCCTGGCACATAGTAGGCCCCATAACTGGTAACTACGGTTATAATTAGTAACCTAATCCATTGCCGGAATGCAAACTTAGTAAGAATGAGAAGTGTCTATTCCCAAACTTGACAGTGCCAATTGTATGGTCATTGTAATTACACAATTTAATGAACTATGATGTCATTCAATAAAATATGGATTGGGAAGAAAGCATTGTTCATTCTGTAACAATTAAGTTGAATATTTTGGGTTGACACAGAAAAGAACGGTTGCTTTAAAAGGGTGGAATTAGGACAACTGTAAAAGATTAGGAAAAAAATGTAAGAAATCTAGACATATCTTGGCTTTGATAGTTTCACGAGTGTCTTTGTTCTCTTTCTATTTGTAAGAAATGGGAATTGGGTGCCATTTATGCCAGGAAGACCACAGGGAACTCCAATCGGTAGATTTGGAACAAAAGAAAGGCTCTATCTGGAAAGACTGGCAGATGAATGTACATTTCTGGGTTTTTCTAATTAAAATAAAATGTTTATGGTATCTTTTTAAATGGATCTTTGCTTTAACTGAATCTTTCAACTAATTAATAAATTACTTGGTCCCCCTGGTTCTGGACTGTAATTTTTGTTTTCTTTTTAATCATTATCATAATACAACTGCAACATTGTGGTTTATAAGAAATAAATATTTGGGGGCACGTGGGTGGTTCAGTTGTTTAAGCTTCCCACTCTCGATTTCAGCTCAGGTCACAATCTCAGGGTTGTGAGATCGAGCTCTGCATCAAGCTAGGCACTCAGTGTGGAGCCTGCTTCAGATTTCTCTCTCTCTCCCGCTCTCTTTCCCTCTGCCCTGCCCCCCATGCACGTGCACACACATGTTCCCTCTCTTTCTCCAAAATAAATAAATCTTAAAAAAAGAAAGAAAGAAAGAAAGAAAGAAAGAAAGAAAGAAAGAAAGAAAGATGTATTTGGTCTTTGTCCATAGTTCCTGGCTCACAATGCTCCCCAAACCCTTGGGATCTCCTGTTTTGAAAGTAGTAAAGATGTCTTTTGTTATATCAAAGAAGGTGACTCTGCCCAACGTCAGAGTTGGACCAGGTGGGCCAACCAGGTGACTAGAGGATTGAAAGTTTTAGTTCTACTCCCTGAACTCCAGGGAGGGAAGAAGGGCTGCAGATTGAACCAGCCAATGGCCAATGTCTTAGCCAACCATGACTATGTAATGATGCCTCTCTAAAAACCCTAAAGGACTGGGGGAGAGCCTCAAGGTTGGTGACCAAACTGAGGCCAGGGACAGTGACACACCTGGAGAGGGCATGGAAGCTCTGTGCCCTTTTCCTAGCCATCACCCCATGTATCTCTTCACCTGGCTATTGATTAGTATTCTATAGCAGATACTTTAATAAATGGGTAAATAAATATAAGTAAGTACTTCTCTGAGTTCTGGGAGCTGCTCTAGCAAATCAAATGAACCTAAGGAGAAGGTCATTGGAACCTCCAATCTCCAGAGCTTGCAGATAGCATCTAAAGTGGGGTGAGGGTTGTCTTGTAGGGCTGACCCTTCCCCTATGGCATCTGATGCTATCTCTGGATGGACAGTGTTGGGCTTGAGTTGAATTCTTGGATACCCTGCTGATGTCTCAGAATGGCTTGGTGTGGGTACGAGAGAAGCCCTCCCCCATCTTGGAACTGGGTCTGGGAATCCAAAAGGAACAGCGAAATAGGAAATCTCTCCTGCCTGCTCTCCATCCACCTCAGAGCCTCTACATTTTTCTCCTCTAAAATCCTCCATGGCTGCCAGGGATTGCAAGCACTTCCTTGTACTGCGTGTGCCCTGTTTGACGGTCATCAATTTCACAGACATAAAAGCTGAGCTAGACAGTTCCAAAGCCCAGGCCATCCCTTTTGGAAACCTTGGGCACACTGGCAAACTATTTTTACACTTATCTGGACATAGGAGACCACCTTGGTTTATTACTGCCTGGCTCCGGCAGCCTGAACGAATCTCTGATGTTGTTAAATAAACCTCACTCACAACCAGAAAATAGCTCCAGCTCCACGGTTCTTTAATAGGGGAAACCTAAACCTGCAGATGGGTTGACCCTCTCTGCCCTTAAGAGTAATCATCATCTCAAATGTCACTTCTTTGGGACCTGCTGTAAATTCTGACCCTCTTGAGTGTCCTTTGAAACTACCCTGTTCAATTCCTTTCCAGAATTCCCCATGATTTGTAATTTTATATTTATTTATGAATTTAAGATCTGTCTCTCCCACTGGTACTCTTTCCTTCCTTCCCCTCCTTCCCTCCCTCTCTCCCTTTTTTTCTTTCCTTTTCTTTTCTTCCTTTCTTCCCCTCCCTCCCTCCCTTCCTTCCTTTCTTTTTTCCTTTCCCCTTCCTTCCTTCCATCCTTCCTTCCCCTCCCTCCCTCCCTCTATCTTTTCTTTTCTTTTTTTTCTTTTCTTCCTTTCTTTCCCTCCCTTCTTCTTTCTTTTCTTTCTTTCTCTTTCCCTTTCCTTCCTTCCCCTCCCTCCCTTCCTTTCCTTCCTTCCTTTCTTCCTTCCTACCCTTGCCCCTTCCTCCCTCCCTTCCTTCCTACCTCCCATTCCTTCCTTCCTTCTCCCCCCCCCTTTCTTTCCTTTCCTTCTTCCTTCCCTCCTTTCTTTCTTTCTTTCTCACTCTCTTTCTTTTTTTCTTTCCCCTTCCTTCCTTCTCCTTCCTTCCTTCCTTCCTTCCTTCTTTCTTTCTTTCTTCCTTTCTGCCTTTCTTTTAGCTTCCTGAAGGTAAGGACTGACTGTATCCTTTTTGTTCATCATTTTATTCCTAGAGTCTGCACTGGGTCAGGTTTGTGGTCGAGGTGTTGGACGAATGAGCATATATTGGATAAATGAATGAAGGATAAACACTGTATAGGTGTGAAGTTGTTACCTGCCCCCACCCAGTGTCACTGACAGCCTTTCATTTGTGTGGAGCACTGCACTTCTGAACACTTAATTATGGATCTTTCCACACCACCTTGGCGGGACAGCAGCTATCCTTATGTTTACATGACAACAAGGAGTAAACCTATGACCATCTGAAATATCTGATGTTTAGTTCATGGGCTTGGCCCACTCTAAAACCTCTCTGATGGATGAGATTCCAAATATCCAACCACAGGAATGCCAGGTAGGCCTGACATTAACTCTTCAGCTCTTGAATTGATGGGTGAGGTCCCAGGAGTACAGGAAAGGCAACTGAGGAGGTGGCCAGGGACACTCCTGGGTCTGGGGACTGCCCCATTACCAGGTAAGGGATCATTTCAATGTTCAAAGAAGAATGTCCAATTGGTCTATATCTGAACATTGGTCCTCCTCTCTGGATCTTATATGATCACACGGAGTCTGTATTTACTTAAAACTTTTATTTTTTTGTTCATTGTATATTCCTGACATTAATTTTTTATTTCTTACAATATTATAGTAAATGTCATTTATCTCCCCCCTGCGCCCCCCCCACCCCCGGCCCCAGATTCCTATGTTAAAGTCTGAATGCCCAGACTCTCAGAATGTGACCTTATTTGGAAAGAGGGCCACTGCTGATGTAATTTGTTGAGATGAGGACACACTAGCAGAATGGGCCCTTCGTCCAGCATGACTGGTGTCCTTACACAATGCAGAATGTGAAGGACACACACACACAGTTACAGGGAAAATGGTGCAAAGACTGGGGCCCTGCCACTCCAGCCCCCAGAGTTGTCAGAAGCTGGAGAGAGGCCTGGCAGGCTCAGAGCCTAAGTCAGCTCTTTTCCCAGACCCTTCCGAAAGAGCATGGCCCTGCCGACACTTGATTTTGGACCTCTAGCTTCTAGAAATGTAAGGCAATAATTTTCAGTTGTTTAAGCCACTCAGCTTGTGGTACTATGTTCCAGCAACCCCAGCAAACTAATACAATTACCGAGTTTTTTGGCACCTCCTTAAATACTATGTGGAAGGCCTGGGTCTCCCTCCCCACCTCCTGGGCCCAGGCCTGGCTCACCCTGTGATCTCTCCATCTACAGTTCACTCAGGCCAGCATCTAGGTCCCTGGGATGTACCGTGAAAAGAAGCCCTTACACAGAAAATGAAAAAGAGCCTATGAAATCAATCTTTTGTCAAAAACGTCCTGGGGTCAGGGGTGGGTGTCAGGAGAGAAAGGAGAAGGTATTATTTCAGCCTTCACATCCCCAAATGCAAACCCTCGATTTCTGGGGCCCACTGTGCAGAGCAGGGACACCAGACACATCATTGTTTCTCCAAAGCAAATTCCTAGGCCTCTCCTGTTCCTGAACTCTGTTCTACAATAAAACTCATGTCCATTGAACTCTTTCTGACTGGCCTAAGTCCACATGGTCCCCTTTCAGGCTTCCCCTCTGTTCTCAGGCCTCAGCCTCTCAGTTCCCATACAGCTGTCAATGTCGCCCCTAACCTTCTCCTTGCAGGCTAAAGAATAACACCCTGTTAGCCTTTTCTTATAACTGTAATAATTTAATCCGGCCATGAAAATAAGAATTGTTCTATGGGCTCAGCGCCTAAAAGCCATTAGTTTGACTTAAATGTAAATTGGAATGGCGGGAGGGGAGGGAAGGGGGTGGTGGTGGTGGTGGGTGGAGAAAAGTAGGGTGTATGGCCCCCCATTCCCTTGTCTCTACCTCTCCTTGTGTTCCTTTCTTCAATAATTGGTTTCCAAGAAAATCTGGATTGTGTGAAGAGTCTGAGTGAACGAGCCTGTTCAGAGAGACAGCTTCTTGCTTGCTGTAGTAAAGTAACTACAATAGGGAGGCATGAGCCTCCCCATACCCAGCCAAAGCACCTGATACATTTTTTAAAATTATCCGGACAAAGCTGGTACATGTGTATTATACACATATACCTAAATTATACATACAAAGCTGGTAGTTTTTGTGTCTGTTTTTTACACTTAAGCATTTGACTGTGTATATATATATAGATAGATAGATAGAGCATATATAATATACACATATATTATATATATATGGTCTAGCCATGTTGAGGTATCCTGAGTGCCCAAAGGAGGTTGCCCCATGGTTCTACCACTAGAAACCCCGCTATCAGACAGAAGTGTAGAAGCAAATGTAAAAATTATGAAATGCAAGGCAAAGGACCCAGTTCTCAGTTTCTGTAACTCTTGTGGAGAATGGTTACATGAGGATGAAAAGTTACACCAATATCAATAGTTGCATGCATTTCAAATTTAGATTATGAACATAAATATGAAGACTGTCTGCTTTTATGTTTTATACTAGGGCCAAAGTTACCAACCATTCTCAATAAGCAGCATTAATACGTTATTTATTTTTCAGAATCCTTCCTAGGAGATAATTTTCAAAGAAAATGAATTATCAAGTGACATGAAAGGAAGAATTCACAATGAGATCTGGAGAGAGGAATAGTTCCTCTTGCTTAGAAAAAATGTTGTGGGGGAAGAGAGGGGAGTTTGCAGATGGAAAAAAAAAAGTGCAAAGACTGAGCTATAGGGCAGCCGCGACACAGTCCATGCTCAAGAACTGAATAAGGAAGTGTGGGAAGAACATTAGGGTTGAGGGCTAACGTTAGAAGATTTCCTAATCCTTATCCAACATAATGCTGAATAAAAAGAAAATATTGCCCTTACCTAATGGTCTGATTATGGTAGCTTTTCAAATCCTGTCCAAGGCTGGTGGTGACTACAATCTGTGTGGGAGAAATACACAAGATCAGTTAGGCCCCAACACCTCACAGCATAAATACAGCCCTGGGTATTAATTACACATAAAATGGGCTGCGTAGTCTCTCACCTGATCCATTTCTGCAGAAATAAAATGAATACTTTACTAGCCCTGTGTATATTTTAAGATTAAAGAAATTTAATTTCTCCAAATGACTTCACATCATAACCATATCCATCACACAGTTTTCCCCAGTGGGGTTCAGACACTTCCAAGCTACAAGCCATGGTTTTGCTTGGTGTACTTCTGCTCAAACGTCTGTTGCATAGGAAGAGAAGGAAGTGCGTAAGATACTACAAGGGGTTTATGAAATTTTCCTTTGATTCCATGACAGCCTTAGGGGGAGAAACAAGTGGGTGCTGAGCGTTCCTCACGCACTGCTGTTCCCCACTTTCTTTCCCTAAGCGCGGAGAATCGTCACTGTCGTTTCAACAGTGACAATGTTTTTGTTGATAATGTTGTGAGCTGTCACGCATTCTTCATGTGTCTTGGACGGCTACTACAACATAAGCCCCTGGAGCTAAGGAGTTCCTTCTGCCCCCAACATCCAGTGCAAGCACAGAGCAAGGATTTAGGAAACGTGTGCTGAGCTAATGAGGGACTCGGAGGTATGGCTACAACACTGTGTCTAGGAGAGACAAACTAACACATAAAAACCAACCCAATTCTCCATATGCAGCATGTTGGCTCAGAGAAGAAAATGACTCCAGTCAGTTGTTTCTCTAAACCAGCCACCGGCTTTAAGTCCCTGGTCCATTTAGTCCAAACAATGAGGATGGCTGTCCCACCAGAGTGGCGGATGTCATGTGGAAAAACAATAATACTATTTTGGGGACTTACAGATATATTAGGGAGATGAGATAGGATGGAAAATAAAGTAGGACAAAAGGCAAAAGTCTACCAAAAACAAAAATAAACAAAAAAAAAATCCACCCAACCCTAGTTCTTTTTTCTTTCCTTCCCATCTGGTCTTTCTAATCCTTACCCATCGTGTACTCTGCTAAATTAAATTCATCTCCGTAATTAAAGGACTACTTTGATTTGCTCTACTCTGGCTCAAAAATCTTCCATGATGCCCTGCCACCTTGGGAATAGAAATCCAGATTTCTTAATATTCAAGATTGTCGACATTCTAGCCCTACAGACATTTTTTTTCTCCTATTAGTTTTCTACAGGCTGCCAATTTCTACTCCAATCTGGTTTATCTAATAACCCCAATGATGTGCTACAATGTTCTCTCCCCTCCCCTCCAATTCAATTCCACCCAATCCGTAAGAATCTTCTCTGTGAAACCTTCCCCGAGCATCCCAGCATGAAGCGCTACCTCTCTTCCCTGAGTTAATATGAATCATTTGGTAATTAAGTTCTCCTTATGACATCCCTTCACCTGCTTAATGCTTCTCCCATAAACAGTCGATAAGCTCCGTGAGCAAAGAGCCTTGCATACATAAGGTGCACAATAAATCTGTGACTTGCTCTGATGATTTGAGACCCATTTAAGTGACACAGAGTACTGAGCTGACCTTCACCTCAGGAGCAAGCAGCAACCAAGCTCTAATGCTATCCTAATCCTTATATAAATGGAAGGCTGGACCACAGACCAGAGCTAGGTCACCTCACATTGTTAAGGAAACCAACAAACACACACAAAAAATTCCAGCTAATCTTTTACAGATTCTTCTTAGGGAGGCAACAAGGATTGACCTGATTTCTTGTCTCTCCGGGAAAAGAAAATGTGATGAACCTAAACACCAAGGGAAGCCTGTCTATTATCTAATACATGAGACAAATAACACGTCTCTTCCACTTCTGTTACTGGAAAATCACAAATCAATAAGAAAAGCTGATGAGGAAGTAAAGTAGCGAGAAAAAAGTAGCATATCGGCATCAAGTATATCAAGAAATGGAATGGTCTTCAATTATAAAACAGATTTGCCATAATCCATAAAATCTACGTTATGAGAGTTTGAAACAGTTATATGCACTGTTTTATAGTACACAGTAGATAAACCCCCTCTGTCCCACCAGAACGATCACTTAGGTTTGTTGGTTATTATTTGTTTAACACCAAACGTCAGCAGTTGTGTAACTGCCAAAAACAGTCAAACCATTTCTTGGCTGAACTAACTAATAAATTTCCTGTAAAAAAAAAAAAAAAAAAAAGAAAAGAAAAGGCATAGATCTGATAACAGTGTATAAACATGACCGATATTATTTTAACATTTATCTCCACAAAGCCTATCTCCCTTGAGACAGGGGGAAAAAAAAACCAAAAACTGAATTGCTCAGATAATTGTGGACATACAGCAACTATATTATTTACTCATTCACAATACGGTCGAAAGAAGCACTTTGGAAGTTAATTAAATGGGATGGGATTCTATCAAAATCAGAAAAAAAAAAAAATAAACATCCATCTATAAAAGTTTGATTGAAGAAGTGTAGAGCTGTAAAGAGCTTATCCTTTAGCACACATTTATTCCCGCAGACACCCCCGCTCCCTCCCTTTACTGCAGTGCCTAAGATGAAGGGTTTCACGGAGCGTGCACACAGATACCTGGCCTCCGTTAAAAGAGATATCCAGTCGAAACCACTCCTTCAGAGGCATGGTGAATTTCGTTTTCACGGCAAGATCTTCTCCTTTGACAAGATGCATCTGAATGTGCAAGTGGCCTACAAGGAAAATTAAAACTCGTGAGAAATGACCAAAAAACAAACAAACAAAACAAAAACTTAGGAAGGCATGAAGTGATTACAATTTTTTTTTGAACAATTGGCCTAAGGAGCTCTACAGTCAGAACATGGGCCTTCTCCCTGCAAACACGAACAAAGCAAACAAAAGACCACACAAGTGAATTCCTTCGTAAAGAAGACACGTGTTTTAAGCTTCCAGGAAAAAAAAGAGGTTCCTGGGAAGCTGCATTTGAAAATCATCGCTCTCACTGAACCGCCACGTTGACGGTATCTTCCTTAATTCCTGACACACCTGCCAAGAGAGCATAAGGAAACCACGATATCAGTTTATCAGTTTAAATGTTCCGTTTCATACTCACCCTCTTCAGTAAGGAATACAGACGGTGTGCCATACATCTCATTAGAATCAACAAAGTACAGAATCCCACAGAGATTGGCCTTGCAATAATGGAGTAAATAAAGCCACAATGAAACAGTAAACCTACAAGAGTGAGGAGAGAAAAAAAATCTGCAGATTGATATCATCCAAGAACAGGTAATTATAGTTAACAATGACCAAGTAAATTGCTTTCTTTCCAATGAAGGGATGAATTTGCCTTCATGTTCATCATGGGAGATCAGCTTGCAAAGCTTGATTTTTGAAACAAAGGAGGTAGTTATTGTAACTGCGAAAGACGGGAGTTAAAGATCATTGTACAAAACTAGCAGATATTGTGCCTTGCACCAAAAACTCTGTTTCTGTGTCTTTTGGAGAATCTCACATGCTTGCCATCTAAATTCTTGATTAAGGTTGAGAAAGTCAGACATAAAATAAAAATCTGGATTTTAATAAGAGGTGATCTGATAAGAAGCTATTCTAATTTCAATGATTAAAAGAAAAAAAACATAATTAGGCTTTTTTGAGCAATTTTGTTTCCTTCCAAGATAAAAGCCTTAAGGTAGAAAAGTGTCGTAATCTGCAAATGGCATCGCTATATGTTAATTGGGACACGTAGATACTATTTTAATGCATCCATTAGGTTGTTCAGGATCACAGTTCCGGCTGACCCATATGGAACAACTAATCTAATTGTTCCATTTCTGGACTGGAGCTATTTTAGTTGAAAAAAAGTATTGTACATCTGTGATTTGTGGGGTGAGAATAAAATAACAGTAGTCAACTTAACTAGGACACATTTAGCCAAGATGTGTGATCTATCCGTCACTCAGCAAATATTAGCTCAACACTTACTTGACACCACACATTGTCTTAGTGACCAGCAGTTCCAAGATGGGGAGCTGGGGGTCATTGCATTTTGCAGGCAAAATAGGAATCAAGGTCAAAACAAATGCACAGAGTTCTCACCATGACCCCAGTAAGCAATTCACAGTTTGGGTTAACCGGGCCGTGGCCCCAGGTTCTTTGGGGATATATCCAAACAAGTCCTTTAGAATTTTCTGGGCTTTCTAATCTGGCCTCAGAATCAGTTGGTAAGATATGCAAACAGATGGTGCCACACAGCTCCCTCCTGACCCACCCAGCTGAGCAAGCTCATGAAGATAAGTTATTACAAGGAAGCTTAGCAAGAACATACGCTCAGTAAAGTGACTCAAGATCTTTCTACAGCCAGCAGCATGGGAAGAATTAAATCACTCTGCTAAATCCATCCAGTCTGAGGTGAACCAGGAACTGTTTTCAGCATCTTCAATTCAGCAGAAGGAAAAAATATATATATCTGGGTTTTGCTGAAATCAATGAAGGAGATCAGAAGTTGTGAGATTTCAAGCAGCTCATCCAATCTTTCAAGACCAAAAGAGCAAAGTGAAGGCAGCAGTGGGCACTGGCTGTGGCTGCCTGCACCTGAAAGCTTGCAAGGCCTGAGGCTCCCACACCTTGCTCCCCTGTTCGTGTCATTCCTGGGACCAACACAGAAAGTCCAAGGCAAACTGAGGACTGCTAGTGGCAAGAATAATTCAAGAACGCTTTGGGCCAAAAATACTGTCCAAGCTGTGTGGATCTCCACATTTTCCAGAAACATATTACCAAGGTGTGATCTCCTGAGGGATTCCACGAGCCTGCCTGGTCTTCAGATTAAACAGAGGACCACCCCACCAGCCCCCATCATCCGCCCATTCTTACACGGGGTAATCTATCCGCTGACGTCGGGTGGCCTCCAGCTCTCGGTTGTGAAACCTCGGGACCTTCTTCACAATGCCTGTGTTTTCTCCACTGGAGGCATAGAGAAAGCCCAGGAGGGTGACCACATCTGCAAACAGCAAGACAGCTGCCTTTCAGTTATCTCCAGAAAAGCGCTGCTTCCCAAATCACATTCTTACCGGAACCCTCTGCCTAACTCCCATCAAACAGTTACAAGAAAGCGTCTGAAAATATTAGCAAACGTTTACTGAACACTGATGATATGCCGAGTGCCTGCTAAGCCCTTTATAGAGAGCTGTCTCAATCCTTGTTCACAGCCACCGTGTAAAGGAGATTGTAGTGTGAGTCCCAATCTACAGATGAAAAGCCCGAAGCTTAGAGGTAAGATAACTAACTCCCACGAGGTCACAGCTAACGAGAGTAGAGTCAGATTTGACGTCCAAGCTCGGGTTCTAGGTTCTTAACCATTTCACATGCTGCCCTTCCAGGGCTAAGGAAAACATTCACAATTTGTGCAACAATAGTAACAGTTATCATGTGAGTAGCCCTCTATACCATCCACACTGCTATAAATAGATCTATATCTCATTTAGCTAGCTAGCTACCTAGAAAGAGAGTCACGTAATCCTCATTCTCATCCTCATTATTATCCCCATTCTGCAGATGAGGAAATGGAGGCATAGCTGCCAAAATGGTCGCTAATGTTTGTATAACACAGAATATGCCAGGCAATGTGCTAAGCATACCATTCCAGGAGCAATCTCACTTAATTTCACAACCATCTATGAAATGGGTGCTATTATTATCCCCATTCAACTGATGAGAAAACTGAGCCCTAGAGAAGATTAAGTAATAAGAGATGGAGCTGGGACTCAAACTCAGGCAGTTGGTTTCAGAATCCATGCTTTTAGAAGTGCACAGGTTTTTTTTCCTTCTGTGCAGACTTTCCAGTGTACTCCACATACTACCCTAGGCAAAATGACCAACCAAACCCCTTAAAACTAGGGAGCCTTCCACTTTATTTAGCAAATGTGGGAGAATTCTGTGGCCCTAGAGAAGACGGGGTGTCCTTAATAAGTCTTAAAAGGAGAACTGACTTATCTCATCTATATTTAATATCTACTGCTTTAAAGGAGGCCAGAATGATATATTTTTTTTCCATACCCATCCCCCTTCAAAGAAAAAAAAAATCACTGAGCTCAACTGAGGAATAAAGAACCTTTTTCACTTTCTTAAAATGCTCTTTGGTTTAAATGTCTGTGATTAAATGGTAGAATTCATCTATTTTCCTGGGCTTCTTGGAAAGGGAAGAGTTAACTTCTGTGCAAGTCACCAAACGCCTCTATTGGCACAAATTATGGGAGCCTCAGCCTGGGATACTAGAGACCCCAGCTCTCATTCTTCAATGGAGAAAAATGTCTTATAGAGAGAGGTACCTCTGGTTCATTAAAACTTAGAAATCACAAGAGCAAAGTGTTCATAATCTCAGACCCTGTGTGTATACCTAATAGAATTAAATAAACTAGAGCCAAATTGTCCCCAGTGTCCACAAATCTCCCTGTTTGGTGAGAGGTAGAGAGGCATTTGGAAACTCAGAAGGATAGAGCTATCGATTCCAAAAGAAACAATGCAAACTTTTTTTCCCTTTACAACTTGAGCTCAATTTGGGGACACTAGTCTTGCTGATCTATTATGTGGATGGGTAGAGGGGATTAGAAATGGAAATACCGCAAGGGTGTCTTTGGAATCCAGAGAGAAAATCACCATGCAGTTGCTGTCAGCCCAACCTTGGTTTGGCTTCCACTGTGTGGACTGGAACATAAAAGACCAGATGGCCACGGTAGCCCCCTAGGAGGCCTTCTGCTAGTGATTGCTGGTGAGTTACCTAGTATGCAGTAGAAACATTTATCAAAAGGAGCAGGATTTGATTCTGTCCAACCTGACTTCAGGAAAAGGAGGCTTCATAAAGAGGTTTCCAAAGTGAAAGGAGTTAAAAGTCAATGCTGATGAGCCTCTCCTTTATCCAGGGATCAAAGTAAATCGGGTTGAGCAGGAGAACTTGCAGCAAAAGATGTGGAAGGAAAAAAATCTTAGACTGAAAGATCTAAAATAAATTTTACAAAAACACATACCTTTTGTACCCAACAAAACCAAAGCTGCGGTGGCTTTCTTGTAAAATCTGCAGCTTGAATAGTTCTATGATTTGGAGTTCTACAGCAATTTTTCCTTCAGTATAATATTGCCTTTCCATTTAGGTTAGAAATAATAAGAATGAAATTGCAGAGCAGGAAAGGATGTTAGAATTCAGCTAGCCCAGGATAACATAGAGGCTTGTTTTCTATTAAGTCATTGTGGCTGCTTGGAGCACCATGCTTGATTAGTGATGGCTGTCATGGGCCCTAGAATGGGGAGTTAACAGCACCAGTGTCATTCCTCATGAAAGAATTTACAGGTAGAAAAACTTAAGTCCAAAGTTTAGGTCCAAAGAAGTTGAGAGACTTTCCCGGTTTCCTCTAAAATGTAAGCCCCAAGAAAACAGGGACATTACTTCAATCATTATCCCATCCCTCGAGCACAGAGCAGTGCCTGACACTTGACAGAGGCTCCACAAATATTGAGGGAATGAATGAATGAATGATTGAATGAATGACCGAATGAACAAATGGGCACAATATGGCCAAGTCAGGATCTGAACCTGCCTCCTTCTTGCCCAGCTCTTTTCACAACGCCATAATGTGTCCCATGCTGCCCAAATTAGATCACAGTCTCTCTTCCTTCAGATGCTTCTCTCAAACCCATTTCTCTGGCTAACTTTGAATAAAGAAGTTAGGTAGGAAAAACTCATCATGACAACAAACCTAAAATACCAGGAAGATAGTTCAGATTTAGAACCCACCACCTTGACTATTCTTGCTTGTTTTATTTCCTTAAATTTTAGAGCAAGAAGAGGCATTAAATTTTGTATGGCACAAACTCCCTCATTTGGAGACAAGAACAGTGTTAGTGTCCCACTGAAGGTTGCATGGCCTAGTAAGAGATGCAGGAATGAGTCAAAGCTGATCTCCCACTAAAAACTAATGGACTTGTTATTAAACCACATCACATCTCCCAAGTCTTCCCAAAGAGATGGGTGCTGCCTCCACCCTCCAGGACTCCACAACCACTACCCATCCTGGCTCTCCTTCAGGGTAGAAAGGCCTCCCGCACCATCCTGTTTCAGCACTATGGCTAGCGCCTACAGAGCCTGACCAGGAGACCCTGTCTAATAATTGGTTGTTAAATACTTTGAACGTCACCACCGAGCACGGTGGCTGGGGTCGGTCATGTAGCCCATTCTCCAGGTCAGCAGGGTGATCAGAGCTCTGACATGGACACCTGCTCTGGAGATAGTCCCATGTCCATGTAACAAAACCCTACTCGGGATGTGCTTCAAACACAACCACAACAGTGCAGCTGAGACCTCAGCCCATTTGGGGATAAGAGACAGTCTTGAGGCAAAAAGTAACTTTAAGTCTGTAAGTGGAAACAGGAGGAAAAGAAGTTAAGATGTTCTAACCTGGAGAAGGAAAGAGTGCAGGTAACTCAACAGTGCTTTCCAAATGCAAGACATTAAAAGGCAGGAATGTTCAGTTGTTTCATTTTCTTTAAAACCAAAGCCTGAGAACTAAAAGTCAATTTTCTAGCAAGTATGATTTAGGTCAGAACTTCCCCCCAAAGGATACCAGGCAGTGAAGTGGGCGAGTAAGGAAGTCAGTGGCATATTCAATAGTAGGAGTGTTAAAAATAAAATAAATTTCACTCCCAGTAATTTACCCTGCGAATATACTCGTAGGTGTACACCAAGATATGTGTACAGGGAAGTTCAGTGAAACCTTGTTGCTAATAGTAAAAGACTAGAAATGACCTGCGTGACCATCAGCAGGGGACAGGTGAGATAAATTACGGGCTGTCAGGCAACAGGAAGCTAAGCAGCTACTGAAAAGAACGAGGTAGGGTGGCACATGCTGCTAGGGGGAAATCTCTGCCGTATTGCTAATGAGTGCGGGACAGAGTTTATAGGGTCTTCCCATGGGTATACGAAGATCGGGGCTCTCAACTTAAGGCTTATAGGAGCAGAGAACATTTCTGGGAGGAAATGCAAGAAACGAGTGTGAGTGTGTTTGCCTCTGGGAAAAAGACGAGAACACAGGGTGAGTGGGAGCTAGCTCTTCCTCCAATCCCTTTTACACTCTATGTTTTTTTGTTTTTTGTTTTTTGTTTTTTTACCAGGTACATATATTCCTTTTTAGGCTAAAAACGCAGGGAACAAGGTCTGAGCATTCCCGTGCAGGCCGCGGGCAGGGGCCAGCCACATCCAGAGGCCTTCCCAGCCCTGGGCTCTGCGGCTATTCAATCTGCTTCAAAGACACAAAGTCCAGTGGGTGAGGAAAACAGGATGATTCACATCAGTAAAAATTCAGCTTAAAAAAAGTGTATTCCTTTCTAATTTAAAACATGGGTTAGGGATATCTTAGCATATTTCAGAGAGGCGGCAGAGCAAAGTTTGGACTCCCGCAAAACAAGCTGAGCCTTGGTTTTTCTCTCCTGAAAAGAAAGGATGAGAATAATACCCTTTCCCATGGGACTATTACGAGGATTAAATGAGACAATGTGCATGGAAAAAGTGTTCTGAAAATCATAAAGGGACACACAGATGCGAGGCATTAATTGGTGTTATTACTGAGAAATTGAGACCACCGTGATTAACTGCAGGGAAAAAAAGAACTAAGGCTCTTTCTCTCTCTCTTTTAATGAAAGTGCTAAATGCATTGTTCCCATAGTTATAAACAGTATCATCATGACATTGACTTAAATAGTCTCACTGCATTTTGGTATTTTCACAGAGACAGGTAAAGCCTGGCTTCCCCTATCTGACTCAGCCCTTCCATGACTTTGTTGTAATGGAATTATGTTATAAGAAATCGCACTTCTAATCCACTGGATCTGAAGATGAGAATGGGTTTTTGGCAAAAGGAAGAAAAAGTGGAAAAGAAGGAAGCTGCCATGTTCCCTAGTTCTGACCTAAGCTGGAAGCTCAGAAAAACATTCCTATAGATGGACAGCAGGGCA